GACACTTACCTTTTACCTGTCACCACTTCTGTCTTCTTTATGAACTGAATTTCAGATTGTTCCTTGCCTGCTTTCCATCTAAATTAAAACAAAACATGACACAGTCACCTAAAAAAGACAACATCCACCAAAATCTCAATTTTTAACACTAGCTTTACCATCAACTTTCATAATTTAAAATATAAGAACTATATATAATTTTTCATTTTCCTTCTTTCCCAGTGAGCCGCTAGCCTTAATCTCCAAATCTACTAAGCCTAAACTGTATTCCTACACCTGCAGGTAGTGAAAAGAAACATCTATGAGATTAGACAGATCCTAAAAAAAAAAATTCAGAAACTTAAAAACACACTGATGTCAACATAAAGAGTTGAGCACAAAAAAAGAATACTGATTACTTGTATGAAACATTGTTTTGAATCTAGGAATATTAAGAGCACTCTTGTGTCTTTCAAATTTGCAGCCTGATGGTACTAAAGTGGGAACTTTCCAAGCCATACTAAGGGCCACAGGTAAATAAAAAGTTATCCACATCCAGCAACTATATTAATCTAATAAAAAAAGAAAAAATCATTTGTATCAAAACTTCATCAGAAATATTAATATAACCACATATCTAAAAATTATAGTTTGATGGCATCCCTGAAGAGGCTTCTCTCACCCAAAACATGTCTCCCATCTATTTCACTAGAATGGTCAATTTCAACAATAAAGGATCTTACTCATAAGAAAGGGTAGTATTTCAAGCACTACTTAGGAAAATTAAGCAACAATAGGAAACCAAATAAAACAAAAGAAAGGACCTATTTCGCTGATTCCTTTGGCCCCATCCAACAATACTGGATTGCCCTCACCTCTCAATCTGACTCAAACGTGTTACTCAGGTGCTTCAGCTCCACTCTTACAAAACAGCCCAGATGCTACCAGCCAGGGCACTCCACCATCGTCACCCAGCACAACCTAACCTGGCTGGCAATGAGTTCAGGAAACTGTATGGATCTAGGTTTAAGCCCTATGAGAATTTGAGCAAACTTGGCTTACCATTCCAAGGCTAGCTCCTCATTGGCAAAGGGAGGATTATATCACCTATCCTATATGTATATAGATGATATCCCTGAACATAATGTATATTAATTTTGTTCTCCTCATCTATGGCTACCCTCTCAATTAACTTCATCACTTTTCTGCCATTCCTCAAACAACTAGTGTGATAATAAGCCAGTTGGTTATTATAAATTTTCTCTATACATGCAAAATCCCCAACCCTCCTACAACTTCCTTCTTGCTCCTCACTTTCTCAGAAAGTAATCAAAGTTACCTTCTTACCTAAGTTACTCAAAAGACAGCTACTGTCAAATATAAGTAATCCTCAAATTAGTTATTACACAAATAGAGAAAATTTGTAACAGGGATGACTCTGAACCAATTGCAGGGCTATGCAAGTGACACTTAACAGATTTATTACTCTATGTAGATATGTTCTTCTCCCAGTTCAATAAACCCATAAATGTAGACCCAACATCTTCAAATGCTCTTACACATTCAGTATCTGTTGAGTAATTATACACACAAACGACTGACGATCATCTAGTTTCCTACACCTGCCACCAAAAGATGTGTTATTGTTTCAGTATTAGCTTACATAACTTTTTTGATCTTCACCCAATTTTCTACCTTAAAATCTTTGCTTCACTCACTTAGCTTGTGTCTGTTCAAATACTGTGTACATAATTCATGTCCAAGTTCAACTGTCAAGCATATACCCTTCTCAGATTAAACTTGTACTACTTAGACTAGTCTAAACTTGTAACCTTTAATGTCTAGGTTGGAATTTTCCAAAATGTAGACAAAAGAAACATTAGTATGCATCAAGGTATTAATAAATGACCTGGTAAGTCTGTGGCTGTTGTATACAATGTATCTCATGCTTCTGGAATCACAAAGTGTATTAATATTTTAAGGCCTCTGAGAAGTTCTAAATATCCAAGGACAGGTTAATCCAGCAATTCTGAAAATTCTGTGATCAAGGAACATGTATTTCAGCAAAAATCAATTAACATTTTGAAAACACTAGCATTCTCCAAAATGCAATTTGGAATAGTACGGATTTTGCTTATCTTGCTATTAACTATATATTTTGATACCTTTTATATTGTTATTAAACTTATAGGTGTGTGTGTGTGTGTGTGTGTGTGTGTGGCTATATCTCCCAAATTAGACTGTAAATACCTTGGGAACTGCTGTAGGCAGTTTATAATACTGCTGATATTTAAAAGAACTACAAACAAAAGCTAGATCAAGACCATTCATTTGAAGACCTTTCTAAACCACAGACTAATTTACTAAAACAAGCAATCTTTAACCTAGGAATCTTTCATTGACCACTTAAAGATACATATGGATAATGGAGCCTTTTATGGGTTAAATACTCCAAAAATTTTTCTGTTGAAGTTTAATCCCCAGTACTTCAGAATATCACAATATATGGCGACCACAAAGGTAGGCAAGGCTAATAACGTCCTTTGGGTAGTCTCTAATCTAGTCTGTTATTCCCAAATCTGAATCTACCAAGGATGCACATACACAGAAGAAAGACTATGTGAAGCACAATGAGAAGATGGCCATCTGTAAGACAAGAGGTCAAACACCAGATTTGAGACTCCTAGGATCCAGAACCATAAAAAAAGAAACGCTTGCTGTATAAGTCACCCAATCTGTGACACAGCCCTTACAAACTAATACAAGCCCTATCCTCACTACAGCATAAGCATACATATGTGTGCAGACACAACAGTACCGTTTCTGATTTGTGAGTAGCAAAAATGAACGTTCAAAAGAAAGAGATCAAAACTATGAAAAAAACCCTAAAATTATATGATAACTAACTGAAGAAACTAAGAAAAGACTTTTTAAAAAAAGGAAAAAAAAAGGTAACTGGGAAGAGGAAATGGGGGAATGACAGTTCCAAGGGAGAGATTATCCACATAAAAGTGAAAAAGAATGAATTAATGAATTTTTTTGTCTTTTTAAGACAGGGTCTCACTATGCAGTTCAGGTAGGACTTGAGCTCACTTTGTAGCCCAGGCTGGTCTTGAACTCACACTGATCCTGACTCAGCCTCCCAAGTGCTGGGATTACAGGTGTGAGCCACCACTCTGGCGAATTAATGAATGGTTAAAAGTAAAGTAAGATTGACTTCAACTCAAAATAAAAACTTGATACTTATATCCACATAAATTGGCTGCTCAAAGGAAGTGTGTTTCCCATAACTCAACATGAAAAAGCAAAGGCTGGACAAAGCCCTCGGCAAGAATGTTGTAAGGCAAATTGGTTGTGAGCTGGGAGGTAGCACAGGACCTTACTAGATTCTTCCACAGCTCTGTCCCTGAGGCCTGAGATACCTATTCTGCTGCAATTCACTGCAGCATGTTCCTAATTAACACTGCCAAGGGCAGAAAAGTAAAAAAAAAAAAATTTCTTCTGTCATCCTGTGGTCAGAATAATGAATTGTAGAAACACAACCACGTAGAGTACACAAAGCTCACAGAACTGTATTACGGGAAGAAAAAAGTTAAATTTATAAGATTCTAAATGTCAATATTGTTTCTACAGTAAAGCGTGTTCTCCTTCTCAATTAATTTCAAAACAATTCTTGGAAACATACCCTATTCATCACAGAGTGTACCTGACTCTAAACTGTATTATCATTTTATGTAGGTTAGGTTTTGCCTCCCTTGATTATGAGGTCCGTGCGGATAGACTACTGTATTTTTGCACCTTCCCACAGATCTTTATCACAATGCCTAACAATTCTGCTTCACAATTAGTAAGGTCATTAGATCTGGAAGTTTTGTAATTAACCAGAAACAGGGTGTTTTTTAACAGCTAGTTAGGGCACAGACTGCTCCATTTCCAGTCCAGTGCAGACTGACTCCCTCTTTAACTCTGGACTATTTCATTTCCCGAGGTCTGTTTTCCTATCTGCAAAATGGTCAAAATGAGGATTATGGAAAATATTCCATGTAAAAGCACCTGAAACCCACAGGTGGTGAATAAATGCTTAGTAATAATTCCCGATACATCGGGTTATGTAAGTATTAAATATTAGAGTCTGCTCCTTATTGCAATTAATCAATTCACAATCTATCAGACATCACTACTAGTTTAATCTTTTTAAATAAATAATGCACCTCGTCCTTCTCCTGTCAACATATTAACAACGGCTAATGCGGCGTTGTACTTAATAACTGAACCTATAGGGAAGAAGCTGGCTTTCAGTCAGAAATCTACTTCTTCCAGAATTCTCCAAAGCAGCACCTGATTGTTCTGCAGCACAACCACGGTGTTCGAAACCCATTCAAGTAACAAGTCACAAGAACAACAATCCCTGCTCTGCAATCAGCACGTTCCAAAACGTTTTTCCTGTGCAAGGAACTAGTTATGCTTCTCTCAGGCTCAAACCTGAAACTTCTCCCCGGACCCCGCTCGGCACCCCACAGTAGCACAGTAAACCGGACTGCACAAGCAGAGAGAGACAGCACGGAAAGACAGGCTGGGGGTTGCTCGCGGAGCACGGGGGCAGAGCTTGTCCAGGCAGAGGCCCCAGAGACACACCCCACCCAACTTCAGTGACAGTGCGCCGCCACCTCCCGGTTCACGCTCTCCCCTGACGCTCAGCCACGCTGGCTCCACGCAAAACAAACCACCCACATCCACCTCGACCCGTTAGCCCTCAGAGTATCATTTCAATTGCCTTTATAGTACAAGTTCTGCAAAACCGATAGCCATCCAAACCCACCTGGGACAGATCCTGATAGCAATCATCAAGCCTGAAGCGAAAGCGCATGCGCATTTCCCAGGTGACTGGAAATTGCCCACGTGACTGGAAGGGGCTAGATGTACGGTACAAATACTCGGTATTCGATTGAAAAGACTTGCCGTAGTTTAGGATGGACATCCTTTGCGCATGTGTTCACGCTTCGCCTGCTGGGAAGTGTAGTTCCGGTGGTGAGGCTCTGTGTTAGTGTGCAAGCAATATTTGGAAACCTAACGTCAAAGTGTGGGAGAGGCTGCTTGATGGCCCCACCCTCCTCACAGCTGGAGGGAATTCCAGAGGAGGTGGGCTCGGCAGCCAGTTCTCTGAACTGCTGGACCCATGATGCTGCTGCGGCTGCGGCTGCTGTGGATGTTGATGATCTTGGCCTCGGCGGTGGCTGCTCCGGCCCGCGAGGCGGAGAGGCAGAGGCTGCAGGCAGCTCGGGCACCTAACGTGGTGCTGGTCGCCAGCGACTCCTTCGTAAGTCCGGGAGGGCGGGCAGGCGATGCTGTACAACCTAGGCTTCCAGAGACGCTTTCAAGCCTGCTTTGCCTAGAGGCACAGTTAGGAAACAGCATTTTAGTGTGAGGCCACGGATGCGCACAATAACACCACACACACACACACACACACACACACACACACACACACACACGCAGGAAGCAACAGGTTAGTGGCGTACATTCGAGTAGCAGCTTTTCAAATCTTTCATTTTTAAAATGCATTTTATTATATTTTATTAGTGCATTTTCAACATATTGACATTGAATGTGGTATTTCCATACATACATATAACATTAATTACAGCATACCCATCCCTCCTTATCCTCCTTAACACCTTTTTCCTTATTCTTCTTTTCTAATAGTAGTTTCCCTTCTGCTTTCACATCCCTTTTTCTTTTTTAGATTGCACATAAAAAGAAAACATGACGGTTGTCTTTGAATCTGGCTTGTTTTGTTTAATATGATGATCTTTGGCCTCATCCATTTTCCTCCAAATAACATAATTTTGTTCTTGTTTACGACTGAATAATACTCTATACACAAACACAGAGAGATTCACAAACATATCACATTTCCTTTATCAATTTGCAGGAATTAACAGTTGGAAAATTAAGCTGGGTGTAGTGGCAAACGCCTGTAATCCCAGCACTCAGGAGGCTGAGGCAGGAGAATTGTTTAGTTCCAGACCATCCTGGCTGCAAAGTGAGCCCAAAGCCAGCTTGAACTTCATAGTGAGACCGGTCTCAAAAACACACACACAAAAAAAAGTTGGAAGATCATACTGTATGCTTAAGTAGATTTACCCACAACTGCACGTTAACTTAATTAATATCTGAAAATCAGTTACTCTAATATAGCAGGTTAACTGAGTAAACAACAGAACACTTGTCATTATCTCAATAGGTGTAGAAAAAAGCATTTTTTAAGATTCAGTAGCTCTTCAACCAAGTGGAAATAGAAGGGAACTTTCTCAACCTAGTAAAGGATATTTACAGAAAAAAAAAGAGACATAATATTATACTTAATGCTAAAACATTAAATGTTAGAAAGATAAGACAAATATTGTTCTCACCACTTCTGTTCAGACTGTACTGAAGGTTCTAGCCAGAGAAATACACAAGAACATGAAAAAAAAAATGGCCCACATTTGAAAAGATAGGTACTTGCAGCAATCTTGTGTCTAGGATCCTAAGGAATGTACCTCAAAAGCACTGAATAATAAATTAAAAAGATTACAGGAAATGATCAATATACAAAATCAGCTAAAATCAGCTAAATTGCTATATACACTTAATTTATCAACAAACTTAAAATTAAGAAAACAGATCTACTTAAAATAGCAAAATAATGGAATGAAATAATTAGGGATAAGTATCTGAAAGCTACAAAACATTTTTGAAAGAAATTTAAAAACCTCCATGTTAAGACATCCACATTCATGGAATAAAAGGTTTAATATTGTTAATATAACAATGCCAACCCAATTGATCTACAGATTCAGTGCAGTCCCTGTCAAACTCTATGACTTTTTTGCAGAATAGAAAACTCATTCTAAAATTCATGTGAAAATTGAAAGAACCCCAGCTAGCAAAAAAAAAATTGAAAAAGAACAAAATTAGAAGACTACTGCCTAATTTCAAAGCTTGTGACAATAAGTAATCAAGATAGGCTGTTATTCAAATAAAGATAGATCACTGAAATGTATGTTAAGGTACAAAAATCAAAATAGTGTGTTACTGGCATAAAGATAGGTTTACAGATCAATGAAATAGATTTGAAAGTAAATTCTCATAATAGCTTGGCGTGGTAGCTAACCCTTGTAATTCCAGCACTTGGGAGGCTGAGGCAGGAGGATCCTTAGGAGTTTGAAACTAGCCCCGGCTACACAGTGAGCTCAGAGCCAGCATAGTGAGACCCTGTCTCAAAAAGATGAAAAAGAAACTTGGGGTTTAGCTCAGCGGTGTGTAAGGGTCTCCTTGGCAAACACAAGGTTGTGAGTTCAATCCCCAGTACCAAAAAAGAAAAAAAAAAAGATGAAAAAAAGATTATTCTTTTCCTATTAAATGGTCATACACCCTTATATCCTTGTTACAAATCATTTTATTATGAGCTTTGAGCTCACTTTGTAGCCCAGGCTGGTCTTGAATTTTCAATAAATCTCCTGCCTCCGCCTCCCAAGTACTGGGATTACGGTTTTGAGCTACCACGCTAAGCTTTTTTTTTTTTTTTTTTAAACAGGGCCTTGCTATGTAGTTCAGGCTGGCCTTAAACTCACTATGGAACTCAGGCTGGCCCCAAATTGGAGGTGCTCCTCCTGCCTCAACCTCCAGGGTGCTAAGATTATAGCTATGCGCCACCATACTTGGCAAGAATAATCTTTTAAAAAATGATTCTATGAAAACTAAAAAGCACATGAAAAATAATGAAGTTGAACCCTGCCTTCCACCACAGATAAAAAAATTAATCAAATGTTATAAGCTAAAATAAAATTCTTACAAGAAACCATTGTTAAAATCTCTGTAATTTTGGATTATAAATTTTTTTTTTTGTCTTTTTATTGGTACTGGGGATCAAACTCATGACTGCCAATTTGCAAGGCAGGCGCTTATGCCGCTGAGCTAAACCTCCAGCCCCCTGGATTATAAATTTTTTAAAATGGGTGAAAGATCTGATTATACATTTGTCTCTGGAAGATACACAGATGGCAAATAAGCACATGACAAGATGCTCAATGCCATTACTCATAAGGAAAATGTACATCAAACCACAGTGTGATACCAGTTCATACCCATGAGGATGGTTATGATAAAAAGATAGAGTAACCAGAGTTGTAGAAGAATAGAGAGGAATTGGGGCTCTCATACTCTGCTGGTGGGAATGTAAAATGGTGCAGCCACTCTGGAAAAGAGTTTGGCAGTTTCTCCAAACTCTTTGAAGCCATGGAGTTACCCTAGATAGATAGCCAAGAAAAACAGAAACAGAGTCCACATTAACACTTGTACGTGAATGTTCCTAGTAATATTATACTTGTATGTGAAAAGTGGAAACAACCCAAATGTCCATCAACTGATAAATGGATACAGTTTGGTAATATTATTTAGCAATAAAAGAAAAAAATGCAGAGCTGCGGGTGTCACTCTGTGTTACAGCATTTGCCTGACATGTGTGAGACCCTGGGCTTGACCCTCAGCACAAGAAAGAAAAAGGGGAGACAGAAAAGGGGGAGAGTTCATCCTACAATGTGGCTGAAACCTAGAAAGCTCTGTGCTGAGTAAAAGAACCTCGTCATAAATGACACATTTTTATGTGAGTCCTTTTATATGCAGTGTTCGGAGAAAGCAAATATATACAGACAGGAATAGTGGTTGTCTTGGGTTTGGGAGAGAAGAGGGTTATAGCTAAGGAATACAGGGGTTCTTTTGGAGATGGCAATAAGATTCTAAAAGTGTGATGTTTGCCCAATTTACTGAATACAGTAAAAACCACCAAATCATACACCTTGAATGAGTAAGTTTTATGTGAATTATATCACATAAATAATAAACCCAGTTTCTAAAAAGAAAGATAATAAACACTTCTACCAAGTCTTAAGGTACAGAGGCAATCTCTGAATCCACACGTCAGCAACCACGTGCCCCCTCCCCACCTCTGCACCCACATTGGTTTTAGTGTTGGTGAAGTTTCAGGGTAGGGGGAGGGGACAGGGATGTCCATGCAGGATCTTGTGGGAAATCCTTCTGCCTGACTCAGAACTAAGAATACTGCTAGCAGTCTCACCTTAGCAGATATAACAGTTACTGTTGGGTTCTGTCATTAGGCTGATGCATTGAAATCACAGCAGTTCTGGATCTCCCTGGCCCAGAATCAAGAGCAGTAGCTAAGCTGTGACTCAGAGTTACTTCAGGATGGTTCAGGGGCAATCAGCAATCGCTATGTATCAGGGCTTTTCAAAGCACTTACTGTAACTATTCGTGGTTTATTTCCCAGTGTACTTTTTCCTCACTGAACATACTTTAGGCTTCTTAGGAGCAGGACTTTATTTTATTCAGTATTGTAGGCTCAGATCTTACATAATGCCTAACACAGAGTTTATACTTAATGAGTATTTGTAGAGTTAGTCCATCATTCCCCAAAAGAACTTTCCAGAAGCCCTTCTGTGTTGAATTCTGTGTATCTATACACTAAATATGAATAACACTCTGTACTTCTTTTATCTTTCATAAAACTGTATTGGGATCTTTTGCTATTGTGAATTTTAAGGTTAAAATTAAAGAAAATAATTTTCTTGTCTTGTAGTGCCATCAGTGTTGATGAAATGTCTTTATTCCAGGACGGAAGACTAACGTTTCATCCAGGAAGTCAAGTGGTGAAACTTCCTTTTATCAACTTCATGAAAACACACGGCACTTCCTTTCTGAATGCCTACACAAACTCTCCAATCTGCTGCCCATCACGCGCAGGTATAAATATGCTTAGAGTTAATGGAAAAAAGTGGCTACACCGGAAATACATTCAGAGTTAGAAAACTATACCCAAAAGCTAGGTAGGAAAGTTATATTTGAGACCTAAATTCTTAACGTTGGACATGTGTGGTGTCAAGTATGGGTTAAATATTGAGGTTATTATAATTCCTAGTTCTTTTAGGAGTAGAAATTTTTATCACTGCCTAGAATGCTATCTAGTTCATATGTTACTGTTTCATTTCCTTATAATTGGTGACTAAGAATCTTTTGACTATTGAAGCACATGAGGAAATAATTATAGTTTCTAGAACAGCTCTATTTCCAAGGAAACTTTTTAGTAAGGGTATAGGGAAGGCTTCTGTGGACTTTAAAATTCAAGACTGAAGTTTTACAAAGTATTTCAGACTATTTATTTTATTTTTCTCTTCATCCTCAGTCCATTTCTATCAGGAATTTAATTGTTCACTAAGTTAACAAAGAGACATAGTTTTAATGGCCAAATATCAGTGAAATTAAGCCATGAGTAATAAATAAAAGAGGTAAAACTGTCACTTTTACAAATTCCATCTGTTGTCTGACAGTTGCTTTCCCCTTTCTGTGCTCCTCTGGTCTACACTGGAGACCACAAGGAACACTATAAACAATTTGGTTTTGTGCGTAACTTACTGAGATGACATTCTGTGATTTCAGTCATAAGTTCTTTCACCTGTGACTTCTGTGGGCACTAGAATCACCAATGGTTAAAGGAAATCTAAACTTTTTAAAATATAAAGTATATCAATATTTCAGTGAGGAAGAACCAAGCACATTTAAAAACATGTTATGCTAATTTCATCCCATACTAAATCGGACTAGGGAGAGGTAAAAGTGTGGGATCTACTCTACATGAACTGTATCAACTAAGTCATTCAGTTGATGTCTTGGTTACTTTTCTCTCATTGCTGAGACAAAATACTTGATGCTCCAAATGAAGGAAGGAAAGGTTTATTTAGATTACAGTTTTTGGAGATTTCAATCCATACTCTACTGGTTGCAAGGCAGAGTGGCATGGCTGAAGGGCAGCCATTCATGTCAGCCACAAGAGACAAGAGCATAAAGGTCAAAATGGAAAAGCACACCTCCTTCCCTCCCTTTTACTGTTTGCGGGCTCCCCACCGCTGGGCAGGTGCAGCACTCGCATTGCCAACCCCAGTGCTAGACAATGAATCAATCACAAATGCAAGATTCAGCCACCTTCATGACTGCATGAGGCTTTGGGGGGACATCCAAACACAAACCATAGCAGCTGACTTGTCTGCAAAATGCTGCATCCCTCACAGCATATACAGCATTAGTTGAAATAATATATAAAAATGTGGTCAGTGAACTCTAAAGGTAAGTGAATGAACTCAGCAATGGTAAGGGATGTCTGTCCTGGAAGAGGTATATTTTGAAGAGTTTGAGCAAAGAGAAGGAATAATAATCATAGAAGTGAATGCGTCACATTCTTACTGTGTATCTGGCAGTGTTCTAAGCCATTACATGTATTTATTTATATAATCCTCATAAAATTTCCATATGATAGATCCTGTAGTTATCCCCATTTTGCAGACAAAAATCTCAATAACTGATATTATTGGGATTCAAAGCCAGGTAAGTCCTCATCCCACCTCTCAGCATTTTCTTAGATGAAAACAGAAAACTTATTGCAATTTACTATGTATGTATATAGAAATGAGGAAGGGGAAAACTTTTTGAATAAAAACCAGAGAATGAGAGCAGAGGCCTACTGAACTCAAGTTTTTTGTGACAGTGAAAGGACAAGGAAAAGGGAAATCCTGGGGCGAGGAGGTCTGTGCTTCAACTGATGTACGATTTAGAAAATTAACCAATAACTACTTAGAGATTGCTTTTGTGATTGAAAGAAGACCCTCACTTAAGCTGACCATAGCTTAAAAAGAAAGGACTTTCCTAACAATGAGGGAGAGATGGGATTCTCTGCAAGGGGCACAACATGTACAAAGGCCCTGAGACATTATAGCGCTCAGGAAGCCCCTGATCAGTGTTTCCCAGCATGACTCTGTGTTGGCAAGGGAGGGTTTGGGAGAAGCTTGAAAGAAAACAAAATAGCTAAGAATAAAAATTACTATGTTCCCTGTGAGAAAGAAAGAAGAAAGAAAAGAAAAAGACAGACCCCAAAGGCACTCAGGCCTTCTATTTAATTCCAGCTGTGTTTACCTTAAACAATTTAACCTGTCATCTTTGGTCAACTAACTCTTTTGTAAATGGAAATAGTAACTTTTTGCAGAGTTTTTCCACTGCTAAAATGAGGTGACAGTTGGAAATGTCTGCTGAATTCAACACTGAATTGGTCATCTTATCCATTGTGGAGGCAAAAATACCTGATACCTACAACTCAGAGAAGGAAAGCCTTACTTGAGCTCAATTTCAGAGACTTTGGTCCATGGTCACCTGGTGTCGAGGCAGAAGCATCATGGCAGAAAGTTGTGCTGGAGCAGGGCATTCGCTTGCTGGTGGCCAGGAAGCACAGCACAGGGAGGAGCGACAGGACCCAGATACAGCCCCCAAGCCACATCTCCATTAGCTACCCAGATACACTCAGAGGCAAGCTTTACTAATCTGCTAGGTCTCTTGTAATCCATGCATATCCACCATCGAGACAGACTGTCACAAGCACGCAATCAAGGTGCATCATATTCCAGAAGATGTGCTCAGCTCCTGAACTATGGTCCCCGAGTGATTGCCTTAATAAAGAAAACAAATGATTAAGTTTTACTTTAACCTCAATTTGTTTTTCTCCTCAGCTATGTGGAGTGGCCTCTTCACTCATTTAACACAATCCTGGAATAATTTTAAGGGTCTAGACCCAAATTATACAACATGGATGGATATCATGGAGAAGCATGGTTACCGAACACAGAAATTTGGGAAACTGGATTATACTTCAGGACATCACTCTGTTAGGTAAAGAATAAAACAAAAACCATCCCAGTAGGCCACCCACTGCTGTAACACGTATGTGTGCTCCGTTTTATTTTTTAACAATTTCCCACAAAGGTAAAAGTAAATCTCTTAATCCCTCAATTGTGTTTATTGGCTAAATCATTAGCTTTCTTTAATCTTCTTAAAATATTAAAATCACTAATAGGCTGGTAATTTTGTTCTTAAACATTAAAGGTTTAAAAATAGTATTTGTAAAATTGTTTAGCCTGTGATATATTTTTATTGAGTTTCCATTATGTTATGACTACTTATTACTCATTTTACAGTCTGTTTTTACAATCATAGTCATTTTTCTACTTGCCTTTGTAATTTTCCTCCAGCTTGAGTCTCTTGGAACTTTTCTTTGACTGTATAAAACCATAAAAATCAGGCAGCCCGTGTGGCTGCAGCATAGCTCAGTAGTAAAGTATGCGTTTTGAACATTGGGTTCACTCCCAGTGCAAATCAGTCAATTGGTTAATCACCTAGCCATTCACAGTGGTTTAGAAGAGAGGACTAAAATTTGATTGCCTAATTTTGACACATCTAAGTTAACTGAATTTTAATTTCTTTGGTGCAAAGATTAAATATTTTGTGCAGAAAAGAGCTAATGTAGCAGGCCTGAGACTGTTAACTTCAGAAATGCCTGCTTGCAAAGGGGACCCTTTGCTGGCATCTGGAAACATGATTTTGGGGATGTTCCCACTGTTCCCTAACTGATCAGACTGTGTGCCCGCAGTGTTTGTGCAGTGTGGGTTATGCTGAATGCCTCCTTTCTGGGATTTTGATGTGGGGCAGGCAGAGGGTGCCTGGATGATTGGTGATGATCAGCCTGGGTACTGAGTCTGAGGGGTACAGACCAATCCTGGCCTGTGTTGTCCCAACTCCATGCTAGAAGAATGAAATGTGTCCTTTACAGCTCACTTGGAACCATGTGACTGATTCCACTGGGCTTCACCTTAAATACTGTTGCCTATCACTTTAGATCTAGACTGTCCTTCAGTATCTTATGTGTTAAGAAGGTGGACTTTTGGGAGGTGACTGGATCACATGGGATGCTGTCACTGAAGAATCCATAGCTGACTTGCTTTTAGGCAGTGGGACCTGGTTGGAAGAGATGGTTCACTCCTCTGGAAGGTGAATGTCCTATGGCAAGGTGCCTCTCCCTCCCTCACTTCTCCCTTCTCTGCTTCCTGCTCACCATGATGCGAGCAACTTTCCTCTGCCCAGGCCCTTTCCCATTTCTTGTTTGCCTGGGAGCCAGCCAACCGTGGAGTAAAACTATGAACCCAAATAAACTTCGCCTCCTTGAAGTTGTAAATGTGCGGGATTGTATCCCAGGGACAAGAATGTGACTAAAAGAAACACCTTTTCCTTTTGATGATTTTTCTATGCATTCTTTTATGTCCTAAATTACATTTGTGAGTACAACTATATTTGAGACCTGCAGTTCATTGTAGCAAGCTTGAGTGTGACCCCAACCCTTGTGACACACAGAATTAACATTCTGTTTCCTCTTTCTTGCTTTGCAAGTACTAATGAGGGTGATTTGTAGCAATAGTTGATAATGATACTAATGACAATAACAAGAAAAATCAAATGTACTAAAAACAGTGGTGAGTACAGTGAGTTGAATAGTGTTCCATGACCATCTGGAGCTTCTGGATATGACTATTTATTTGGATTGTAACTAGTTAAGGATTTCAAATGGCACAACCTGGGCCAGAGGTGCACCCTAAATCCAAGGCTGCTCTCTTTATTAGAGAAGGAGAAAGGACAGAGGTGAACAAAGAGGACAGTGTGAGGACAAGGCTGGAGATTAAAGTGGCAAAGGTGTAAGCGAGAGACTGAAAACTTCTTAGGAGTCCTTATAAACAGGGAAGAAGAAGGAAGAATTTAAGCAGAGAGACTTCTCAAGAGTCTGCTGGCACCTCAGTTTCAGACTGCTGTCCTCCAGAACTGCCAGAGGACACATTGCTAATACTTGAAGCCACCCAGTTGGCGATCATTTGTTCTAGAAGCCGTAGCACACTAATATAGTTAAGTTTTGGGAAAACAAATTGTAAAACAATCTAAAATAATCAGAATGTTAAGCTTGTTCTTCTAGTTGATGTTAAATGTCTTTCCTAATCTGTCTTCAAAAATCCAAAAAAGTGAGGCACAGTGGCAAACACCTGTAATCATACCACTTTGGGAGGCTGAGGCAGGAGGATCACAAGCTGGAATTCAGCCTGGGCAACCTAGCAATTTAACAAACCCTGTCTCAGAATTAAAAAGGACTGGTGGGCTGGAGATTTAGCTCAGTGGTACAAGCACCTGCCTGGCAATCGCAAGGCCATGAGTTCAATCCCTAGCACCAAAAAAAAAGAGTTTACAAAAAAGGACTGGGGATTTAGCTCAGTGACAGTACTGAATTCAGTCCCTGATACAGAGAAAAGAAGGTGATATGAAAGATCAGAAGTGATCCAAACATTTACACACACACACACACACCCGTTGTCTTATGTATCCTCAAATGGTGTCACTTTGGCCTCTAAAATATTTCTCCAATTTACTCTGTTTGTTTTGAGATAGTGTCTCACTGTGTAATTCAGGCTGACCTTGAACTGACTGTGTGGTACAGACTGGCCTCAAACTCCTGCCTCGGCCTCCCAAGTGGTGGGATTGGAGGCATATACCGCCACCTGGCCTCCAATTTTTTCTCTTATCATCTCTGTAAAGCTACTGGCTGTCATCTCTTGGCTCAAGTATTGAAATTACCTGGCTCATATTCTACCGGCAGCCTTGGTGATCTTCTTAACACACACATCTGACCAATCACATGATTTACCTGTTTAAATCTTTCAGTGGTTTTTCTCTTAAGGTTAATTAAAATTCCAAATCCATGATACAGTTAAAAGACCCTACATGATCCGACATCTGCCACTGCCATGCCACTATCTCTGCCCCTGAGTTTGTACCTGATCTTTTTAAAAGATCCTTAATATGCTTCCTGGACTTAAGCTAATGCCTTTGTGCAAAATTCTTACCGCATTCAGCCTTGGGATTGTAACAGAAAGAAAGGGACAGAGAATGATGTATAGTGGAGGGACAGGGGCTTTGAGTCCATCAGAGGAGAATGAGATCCAGCTTGACTGCTCTAGGATCCTTGAAACCATAATCACGTTTCTTGACTTCCCTGTCACTGTTCTTATCTGTAAATTGGGACAAATAATATCTACCTCACTGGATGACTGAGTTTTATCCGAGTTAACATAAGGAAACATAACTGCCCCTGGGCATGGTGATGCAAACATGTAATCTCAGCATTTCTGAAGGCTGAGGCAGGAAGAGTGCAAGTTTGAGCACAGCCTGGACAATTGAGCAAGACATTGCTTCAAAATGAAAAAAATCTGGAGATATAGATCAGGGTAAATGCCCTGAGTTCAAGCGTCAGTGAAACGTAAGCAAAAGGATTAAATAAGATATTATGGCATATGTAGCAGTGCCTGGCATAAAGTTATGTGATGAAAAATATTACTATAAAAGTGCACTTCACCAGAGTTATACTTAACATTTACATGATTCTTACTTTTCCAAAGTTGCTTGCATTTCTTATTATTTCATGAAGCCTCACATATTTCTCTTTAAAATCTTTCTCCTTTATATTTATGTACTTATTTTAATTGACATAAAAATACACACATTTATGGGCCATCACGACATATTGCAGTACATGTGTACACTGTGTAATGATCACAGCAGGTGAAGTTTATCTGTCTCCTCACAAATTTATCATTTATGGTGAGAACATTCAAAAGCCTTATAGCTTTTTAAAAAACTACATTGCACATTATTGTCGTCTGTAGTCATCGCACTGGTAAGAGAACACTAGAACATCTATTTAACTGTCATTCAGTATCAGTGGTCAGCTTCCTCCTTCCCTTGCTCCTTCTGGCCTCTGGTAACCACTGTTCTACTTCAGACTTATCCAGATTTCACCTGTTTATGTTCCACATAAGAGTAAGCTCGTGCACTCCTTGTCTTTCTGTGCCTGGATTATCTAGTTCCATCCATGGTGTCACAAATGACAAGATTTCATCCTTTTTGGCTGAAGAGTCTTCCATTGTGTAGACAGACATTCTCTTTACTGTCAGTTGGTAGATACTGAGGCTGTTTCAGTTTCTTGGCCATTGTGAATAATCCTTAATGAAGATGGGAGTACAGGTGTGTCTATGGTGCAAGGTTGCTATATCACATGGCAATTGATTTTTAATTTCAAGGGAGGCTTCCATATTGTCTGCTATCCTGGCTGCATTAATTTACTCTGTGACCAACATTTTGCCCACATCCACACCCATACTTGACATGTTTTGTCTTTTTTGACATGCCATCCTAACTGGGATGAGGTGATGTTCACTGTGGTTTCTACTTTTCCCTGATGATTAGTGATGCTAAGATTTTTCATATACCTATTGACCAACTGTGTGTCTTCTTTTGAGAAATGTCTATTTAGGTCTCTGGCCCATTTTCAATTGGATTGTATGGGTTTTTGCGATTGATATGAGTTCTTACATATCCTGAATCCTTTTCAGATAGATAGCGAGCAAATATTTTTTCCCAGTTTGTTCTTCACCCCATCTCTTTTTCTGTGCAAAAGCTTTTTAATTTGATAGTCTTATTTTTATCTATTTTTGCTTTTGTTTCCTGTGCTTTTGAAGTCTTATCCAAAATATTTTCTAATGGTTCTAATGTCCTGATGCATTTCTCTTGCTTTCCTCTTTTAATTTCATAGGTCATATCTTACCTTTAAGTGTTTAATCCATTTTGTGGGGGGTTTTTTTGTTTTGTTTTTTTTTTATTTAGGGAGAAAAAGGAAAAAAAAACAGAAAAAGGGTACAAGTAATACAAAATTTAAAAAATAAACAGTAAGAAATCACTAGTTAATAGTTACATATTCTCATCTTAGAAATAGTTGTTCAAGTTACAAAACTGAAGCATAT